CCTCCCTCCCTCCCTTCCTTCCTTCCTTCACTGTATAAATAAATCCTTCATAAAAATAATATCAAAGTACCTTGACAGCTTTGACGTCATATTTGAATTATTAGCTGGGTTACTTGGGATGTGAGTTGCAGTGTGCGCATTTCTTGCACTTGTCCTTTCCAGTTTTGGCTTACTTCGCTGTAAAGAGTAAAAATGGCATGTTTAGAGCTCTATAATTTTGGATATTAGACCTAAGGTCTAATATCAGCAAGACTTAGGGCCTCATCAAGACTCAAAATAACCATTCATTGAAGTAATAGATAAGGTGAAGAAAATCTTCCTTGTTTACAAGGGTAGCACTTACAGTGCCACATTCTTAATGTTGGTCACCAAACTTATTTTTTACTAACCCCAATGAGTCCTTTCCCACCAAGTGTTTCCATCAATTAAAAAAAAGTTTTTATGATAGCATCCAGTGTTAGTCAGCAAAAGCCCCAAATTAGGTATCCCCAAATTCTTAGCCATTTATATTTAAAAGCTTTTGTTGCAAAGAGTACGAAATAATTTTAACTATTTGCAGTCACACTGAGTGAGTTCACGTGCAAATACACAAATTCTCGCTGTCTGATCTGCTAACTAGTAAAAAAAATAAGTTGGGTGGACAAGGTTAGGCATGTTGCACTGTAATATCCAGTGGCTAACAAACCTGTGGCCCTCCTTCCATGATTGAATTGGAATTTAGAAGTAGACCTTTAAGGGAGGAAAACTGGAGAACCCAGAAAAAAAACCTGGAAAACCTCAAAGTACAGGAGAGAACTGACTAGAAACTCTGCTTACATGACACCGAGTCTGGGAATCAAACCCGGGCCACATTGATGAGTAGCCTCCCCAACAGCCACTTTTCAGTGTCATCTGAAACTGGCTGTAGGGGAGACTAATTGATAAGAGGTCCTGCTATTGCTCTCATTGCTACCCAACCCATGCTTCCCATAAAGGTGACAGCATTTACCTTAATTGCTTGTGGAGTAAAACCTATTTTCTCTGTCCCTTTGTGTGCATCAAAGGGATTGGCTACATCTCTCTAAGAAAAATAACAGTAAGTGACGTCAGCTATCATCAAAGAATATAAGTTATCATAAAAAATTGTGACAGTATAGCTTTTTATGACCAGAGCACTTCTATTCACTATGCTTTTAGCTAGTATCTACTTAATATATATTAAACTTTCACCACACCCCATTTTAGTCCAATTCTTACTAATAAGCATTTTGGTCTATTAAACTTTCTCAGCTCCCTTCCCTTTGACTTTAAGACTGTTTTGCATGGATGTTTTCCCAGTACACAGTACACAACTTTTACAAAAGTCAAGATTTTTTTTATGGACAACTTACATATCTACTACTTGATACCCTGTGTTTCACAGGAAAATAATTTGCTCTGCATTTGGCAAGAGGTGGAATTGTTCTTTGTGATCTTGTCAACTTGGAGGTAGCTTCTTCATGCTGTAAGGCAATAGGCATTGTATATATAAATAAACAGAGCCCTAGCTTCGTAGGGAAGGGATGCTCCTCTGCCATAAATTATTATGGCAAAATTGGACCTTTTTCTTTTGAAAAGCAGTAATGGCTAGAACATCTACCATATGGGTTCCATGGCAACAAAGTTGCCATTGTAATTAATTTATCATTGTTGCTATAGCAACACTCAAGCTGTATTTGACATGTTGCTAGAGCAACACTTATAAAAGCCATATTTGATTAGACTATATCAGAGTACATGAAACTTTAACTAATTACCAAGTCCAATATAAGATCACATAAAAGTTGTCATGACGATAAGGAGGCAGTAAGCAACTGCAAACTTCAAAATACAGGGTTTAAAAAATGGCTGTTGAATTGCAAGCCATGAAAAAATAATGATAGTAATAATACATAAAACATAAAATAAACTCACCAATCCAACAAAGACTCCTCCATGCATGTTAACACCGGATGAAAGCCCCTGTGCTGGAATCAGCTCCTTTGGCGGAAACCCATTGGCAAAATGAACATATTTTGGACTGTGTTCGTGACTCTGTCTCGACATCATCATCATGGACACTTGGTATCTCTCAAGTGACTTTGTTCAAGTCAATAGTCATGATGAAACTAAAATATCCTAGAGCAAGAAAACCATTGATTATCAGGTCTACATATGGTCTTTGGTAAACAAGGTTGATCTTTAATACTTGAATGAAGAAATAGATTGTAAACTTATTTCATTTAGGTCAAAATTGAATCAATCCTCAGGAAAAAATAAGGCTAGAAAGCGTAAATGCAAAGATATATGTGGAAGTTAAATTAGGATAACTTCCGAACTGCATGAAATGAAATAACTCGATTAAGTTTTAATATATTTTGTAAAACGCTCAACACAACAGAGCAACAGCTGTAAAGATTGTAGGCTGGCAAAAAAAAAGCGAGAAAAATCTCCAGAAAGCGAAAGCCAATTGATAAAAACTGACAGAAATGTAGTGAAACCAATATAAAAACAGTTCTAATTGATGTGTCATGATATCAATTGTTTATTGTGATACAACGATTGATAATGTGAGAGCATGTTTACGTAAAGTAAACCCATTCCTGCAGGCCACCCAATGAAGTTTATTTTACAACAAATTAACTCTACTAGATCTCATAAAATTCGTCTTTTTTTCTTGATCTCTATTGCTCTTTATCTTCCTAATTCAACGTAAACATGTCTGAGTAAATATAAAATTACCTTCATGACGGATTTTGAATTGATTTTCAAGTCCAAACTATGCGCGTACGGCTTTCCTTGGCAACCATTGAACACTCAACGATCTAAGTCAATAAAGAGTCTTGTGTCCTTGTGATCTCAACTTGAATACGAAAATTTCAAAACTTCATCCTCACATCTTTGTCTTCATTTCAGTTTACTCCAAAACTTAAACTCTAGGAATTTAAAGTCTTTTTAGAAGCGATGAAATTTCTAGTTATTATTTTGCGATATATGTACAGCAAGTCGTACAGCATATAGGATATATCACAATGACGTCATATGAAAAGTACGCGCTGATTGGTCAAGAGGTGTTATATACTCGATATAGGACTGGGACGATCATTTCAAAATGGCGGCAGAATTTTAGTTGCACATGGAAAAACCTTGAAAATAAGAAAGCCTTTTTGTTACCCTAAGAAAATGGAAATTGTGCGTTCAAACTTCCTTGAATCCCTCCCTATGATCTCCGAGGTTATTGAGTCTGCATCTTTCTTGGCTATCGATGGAGAATTCTCTGGTTTAAATACAAAATGGAAGCTTGAAAATACGATTGACACCCCACAAGAACGCTACTCAAAACTCCTAAATACTTCCAAGGACTTTCTCATAATTCAGTTTGGTTTGTGTGCCTTTACTTTGGATAGTCAAAAGAACTGTTATAATGCCAAACCTTTTAACTTCTATATTTTTCCGAGGCATTTAACGCGTGATAGTCCAGATGTGAGGTTTTTGTGTCAAAGTTCAAGCATTGATTTTCTTGGAGGGCACAATTTTGACTTCAATAAGTGGATTCACGAAGGAATATCGTATCTTAGACCTCACGATGAGGAAAAACTGAGGAATAATTTACAAGAACGACACGAGCAGAGTTTTGGTCCTTTTACCTCTCCAGCACCAGTTCCATCACCAGCAGCCTCGACAGCTTCATCCAATAAGTCTAGTACCAGTTCTTCCAAAACTCCTGTAATCATTCCTCCAGAACATCAACCATTTGTCGAGAAAGCTTGTAATGAGATAGAAGAAATGCTTAAAAATCCAGAGAGTAAAACTACCAACTTACCCCCCTGTAATGGTTACTTGCTAAAACTCATTTACCAAAGTGCAAAGCAGAGATTCACTTCAGGGATTCAGTTGGAGAAGAGCACCAATGACAAGAAGGAGTGCTTTATCGTAGTCACTAAAGTTAATGAAGATGAGAAAAAGAAATTTGAGGAAGAGAAACAAGCCAAGGAGAAAGAGATGATTGAAAATGCAGTGGGGTTCTCAACTGTTTTGAAAATGGTCTCCCAATCTGGTAAACTAATCGTCGGTCACAATATGTTGTTGGATCTAATGCATATTGTACACCAATTCAGTTGCCCACTTCCTGAAGATGTTGATGAGTTCAAAGCAATAATCCAAGCTCTATACCCAAGAATTGTGGATACAAAAGTAATGGCAACAACGCAACCATTTCGAGATCAACTTCCTTCTACAATATTAGGTGACCTAGTAAAACATCTCACAGTTGCTCCTTTTAAGAAACCAGTCATAGAGCTGGACAAGGAGTTTTCAAGGTACCAGGAGGGCACAGAAAAGCTCCATGAAGCAGCTTACGATGCCTATATAACTGGGCTGGCATTTATTTCCATGGCTAACTACCTGGGTAGTTTTCAAGATCCACCAAAGTCAATGATATCACCTGATTCAACATTGGTATCACCATTCCTCAACAAAATCTTCCTCTACAGAATGGAAGATATACCTTACCTGAATCTTGCTGGTGAAGACTTGAAGCCTGCACGAGATCATGTCTTCTTTCTTACTTTCCCAAGTACCTGGAGATATGGAGATATTCTTGAACTTTTTAGTCCATTTGGATTTGTCTATGTCTCCTGGATAAATGACGCGTCAGCATTTGTGTCGCTTGCCTTGAGAGGTAACAAGAATAAAGTGCTAGAGAAATTAAGTGATGACGATGCACCCTATACAATCACATCTTATGCTGAGTACTTTGGATACACCTGTAATGCTAACCCTGGGGAAGACAATGAAGCAGAGGCTGGCAATTATCATCCAGGAAGCAAGAGACGCAGAAGTGAGGGTACTTTGCAGTCCAACAAGTACAAAACTACAGAGATGAAGATAGCTGATACAAACAGTGAACCTGAAGAAGGGGAAATTATTGAAGAGCCAGTTACGAAGAAAAAGAAAAAAGACCAACACTTTGATGTACCAAAAGATTGGTAGTACCACGAGGTTGCAGTTTAGTTGTGTTTAATGACCTTTAGATCAGCCAAGTATGAGAACAAGTGCAAGTTTTAAAATTGGTCCTGTGCATGTGGTTCACTCTGAATGTTAGTCGAGTTTTGCCTTTTTACAATCTAAAGTTTCAATCTATGTACGCGATCATGACTACAAAAGGATAGTGCATTCTTTAAGAGTTAAAAACTTGTTCTCATTCTTATCATTGGATCAAAAGGTCTGTCTTGTTGCATACCATACAGTATGCTTTCAAAGTTGATTATTTATATTTTCTTAGACTTTGTTTGAACACAGGCAGCCCAATCTCTTGTTCTGTAGTGTTGTAGTATTTAAATATTTGTGTTTGAATTGTTTAAAAAATTCCTCTCATTACACCTCTTGCAGGGGTGGATCCAGGAATTTTAGAAGGGTGGTGACTAAACAAGGGT